TGATCACGTGTAGCGCAGCATGTAGTATGTGTCACGTGCGCGCTGCTGGCATCCTGTATTTAAGCTCTCGTTCCTCTGGATCTCTCTTCCTTCCTCACTTTGTTGTTCGCTCAATACAGCAGTTTCCGTTTGACTCCGTATTCATCACAGCAAGCAGTGGTTCACTCCACACGGTTACAGTCTTTATATAAATAGCTATATTATATCCCTAGCTAATAGCATAGAGCTCCAAGGCTAGGACGCTCTAGGTAACTCTCTTATACTTTACTAAAGACTATGATAAAATATTTACTTTATTATAATAGTCTATAAGAACTAGGACTAAACCTAGCTAGGAGGTATATGTCACGAATCACGTGTAAGCATGTGATGAGTGAAGACCAGGCGGTGTCCTGACAGGTCGAGCACTATCATATCTCTTATAGCAAATAGGGATGCTTAGACTAGCTAAGCGATCCAGGGATTTCATTCCATTCGTATCACGTGACTAGTTGTGCTAGACAGGGCGACCGGTCGCGCGGTCTTGCAGCGACGGGGCGACTGGGCTAGCAAGCTAGCACAGGAACATGAAGGTTCTATATAAGACTGGCACGTCTGCCATTAGATAGGAGCTTCGTGCTCAACTTAGTTATCAATCTTATCATATTAGTTTGACATCTTTGATACAAGTAACGAGTTCACTTCCAAGTGAACAACCCGATAGTCTTCTTCTTATCATAGCATACCAACCAGCGAACACCCAGCCAAGTTTAGTTAGCCAGTTTGAGTATTCGTTACACTTAGTTACCCTCGATACGTAAAACATATCCTTTGTTTAGCGCCGAGAGTTAGTGAATAGTACTCGAGTACCTAGCCCTAGGTATACGAATAATCTATTAGCTTAGTACGTACTCGTCACGTATTTTAGAATTCTACAATTCTATAGAATACCAGAGCCTATTCGACGGAAATAAGTGTGCCATTTATAAGGACCTCTAACAATATTCTATATAGAACAGGATTATGGAATCTATGGAATCGAGTACCATTTGCCGAACGCTGGTTATTCCGGTGATACTATTATAACCCGGTGTTAGGAAGGGAATTCTAATAAAGTAGACAAAGAGATAGACTCGAGTAATAGGAGGAATTCTAATTAGTAAAGTATATTCTCATTTTTAGACGTTTTTTACGATAGCTTCAATTTAGACTTTTTGATACGATTATACTTTAAAAAACGCTTGTTTACGGAAATTAATCCTTCAAGTGGGTAAAAAAGCTCCCCACCTCCAAATGTACATATGCGACCTTGAGTGGATAAAATAACCTTAAAATCAAGTATTTACAATTTACGATTTAGTCGATAGCGACCTAAGTATACAATTGGGATGCCGTAGCTAAAGCCTTTGGTGATATTAGTCAGAAGGATTTATATAATTTGAAATGAATATACTAAATCGGAGAATTATTCAATTATATATCTAGACACACAACAAATCACAAAGGTGAGAGTAAAAGTTGGGCAGTGGTTGTGTTAACATGGGAAAAATGCCCAAAAATATCTATTAATCGATCTAACTTCTATCTTCTATCCCAAAGATGTTATCGTATGATGAAACGCCCACTTACCTCTTTTCTCGTGATTGAACAAAAGTCAAAACCCAAAAGGATGCATTGAACCAAATACCAGACGTTTTCGATTGATCAAGTACCTCCAATTATCATTGAATACCACTCAAGCTAATGCTGTAGTGGGAAATAAGTTCGATCAAAACTACACGGCAGCCAATGACTCGCGCCAGCCGAAATAGTCCATGTAGAGAAGTGTGTATGTCATATGAATCGCTTTAATGTATACCCCGATATAGTTTCCAAAGACCATACCCAGGCCTATGTAAAGGCGAGACCACATTGGAAGAGGAACGCCAACGAGTAAGCATAGATAATATACGCGGTAGACCATGGTTAGGGCCCAACTCGTCGATTTCCGGGACGGTGTAGAATCTAATTGCATTAGCAACTCAACGCAAACAATATTCGGCTCGGAATAACTCACTAAACCCTGGAATAAATGGCACCCATTTACATATGAACAGAGATACGAATAACGCCCAATAGAGCAGAAGAAATGCAGCAAATACTCGCTCGAACAAGTGAGTATGTGGGCCGAATAACATAAGCAATTCGTTGCATACCGCCGATGAACTCCACCGTCTTCGCTGGTTCAAATAAGCAGAAAGGCTTTGTGGCACGTTGGTATAAGCGATAGCCTTTTCTGCCATCCTCATTTTCGCTTCCGGTTTTCTACTGTGTACAAGCGAGGCATGATGCCGGTCCTCTCCGACTTTGGCTATAAGATGTCTCCAAAGATTGTCCTTTGGCCCAGGATAGTAGCCGAATGGGCCTAGAAGAACCTCGTCACCACAGTTGGTTTCACATACTTTCAAGAGATGACAACAACCGGCAAGACACGTGCAACGTTCGGTTATGGTGGACTGGTAAACTCGTAGTGCTCTCTGACGCACAAAGTATTGCGAGTTTTGTAATATATCCCAAAAAGACGGAATCTTTCGGCTGTTAAAGTTGACTTCCATGTATCCCAGGACTGCCGTGGTCTGCGGGCGACGAGCTTCCTCAACCATGTATTTGATGCAAGAAGGATGAAAGACCGTGTCGGCATCGATTCCGATAATGTGGTCCACCACATCTATCTTGGCTGCTTCGAAGAGCCACGTTGAGAGAGTGTTGAAGGTTTCCGGGTTGAAGATGGTCCTTGGTCGCTCATGTCGTGAATTGTGTTTCAGCAAAAACGATCGCACCATGATTAGACTGTCACGCTTTGCTTGATTTTCATGCTTGACGATGCAGCAAAAGGGCATGTTTGCGTAAGTTCCGGTGAAAATGTCCACGTCCACAGGTCTTCGTCTCCAACCCATATACGCATTTTTGATGGTCTTCTTGGGAGTACGATTGACAAACACGTCGTGCTCCAAAATCTCAGCTGTCGTCTTTTGCATACCTGTTCCTTTCCTCTTCTTTCCGTCACAGACCACGAACATTGCTTGGCGGTGCTTTTGCAGGCCTGCTTGGGTAACGAGAGAATCGAGCGAGTTTTTGATTTCCTGCTCGGTCTCATCATAGCAAGTCATGAGGATAGCCAGGCTTTCCGGGGTTTTGGGAATAACAATCTCCTCTTGAGCTGCAGTTTTAGGGAACATATAATCTCGAGTAGAATTAAAAGTGATCCGAAACATCATAAATGTATTGATATATGTCATTGAATTGGCAACAACATGATGAAAACGAGAAGATGGCCAGACCAAATAGGTTGAAATGAAGGTAACACTAGAAAAGAGTTAAGAATATGTCGGTCGCAATTAAAGGAAGAATACATACTTGATGAAAAGCAAGAGGGCCCATACACCATATTTTTGCCGTTTCATCTTTCGATTCAGCTCTGCAAGCTGGTCAGGGCTGACAGCTGGAGCGGCCTCCCAGATACATGATGTATCCTCCATTTGCGTCTTACTTTGGGCCGGTGTCATTTTGTTTTTAACGTCAAGAAGAGACTTACTCAGCTCTTCTTTCGATAAAAACAACTATACTTTGAAGGTTAATGAAACAACGAGCGACTTGAAGATCAACAAAAATAGAATTGAGAAGGCCAACGTGAACATTTGGGTTGTCGGAAGGCACGAGTCATACGGCGATTGGTCGATCAAGGTTTTGAACCCTACTCGGAGTTATCGGGGCATAGGAAACAAAATAAAACTGTGCCTTGTATTTCGAAGTACCTGGGGAATCACTGGGGATTGCATTATTGCTCAGCGAATCCGATCCAGAAGCTTTGATATAAACTTTTACCAAGAGGTATAACACTATCCGATTATGTATGCCCACTCGCTTCGCAACGCTGATTGGTTGCTTGGGCCCTTTAACCCATGGAACCTTGGACTTTCGGACGTTGTACTTCGTAAACCGATTTCGTCTAGAGTTGCTTTTGTACATGGCCTTGAAACCTGAAAGGATTCTCCTTACTCGAAGATATTGCGAGATTTATATATAGCAGACTCGCTTCCAATACTTCCGGATCAGGATGAGGAGGTTCGTTTTTGCTGGCAATCATTACCACCTTCATGTATTGTATATACTCTCGCCAACATGAATCAGTTAGGAACGCCTCTCGTCGCTATCATCGGATGCGGATATATTGGGAACCAGCTTCTATGTGAATTTTCTAAGCATCACAAAGTTATCGGATACGACATCTCTGCTAGCCGGGTGCACGAGCTTCGTCAACAGTTTTCTACGAAGAATGGCGCAAGTCATTACAACGGGCAGGTCTGTTTGACTACGCGCATACAGGACCTGGCTATGGCGACGCATTTTCTCATTTCGGTGCCAACGACGTCCAGAGAAGACGGTTCTGTGGACATGACGTGCATCGAAGATGCACTCCGTATAGTCACAGCTGTCGCTCTCCCTGGTTCAACGGTCGTAATTGAGAGCTCGGTTGCAGTGGGAACAACGAGGGCTTTGTTGGGTCCTATTGCTGCTAGCCGGGGACTGTTTGGCGGAGTGTCACCAGAGGTGATTACCTTGCATCCCGAATGGGGTACTCACATTTTGAAAGTCCAATGGCTAATGAAGTTTGGAGTTATAGAGGATTGACCCGGGCCGTATGGACCCATTGCCTTCGAGCATCCCGAAGCTGGTAGCTGGCCTCGACGATATCGTTCCCGGGTCTCTTCAAGCCATTAAGCGACTGTATTCGACGGTTTTCCGACACCTTGTAGCCGTCTCCCGACCCGAGGTCGCCGAGATGACCAAATTATACGAGAATTGCCAGCGTCTTGTAGGGATTGCATTTGCAAATGAGATTGCAGACGCATGTGGCGAACACGGTGTTGACCCCTCCGAGGTTTGCTCTGCGGCAGCCACAAAGCCTTTTGGATTTATGCCATATACACCTAGTATAGGTGTAGGCGGTCACTGTCTTCCCACAAATGCAAGATACCTCCTTTCAAATAATCGCCTCCCGCTCCTTGAATCTGCAGCGAACTCAACAAGGGCACGGCCGGGAATGATTGCGCAGAAGATTGTTGACTCCTTTTCCTATCATAACGGCGACTCTATTCCCAAGGTTCTAGTGGTTGGTATAGCGTACAAAAAAGGCCAAAACAGCATTGTCGACTCCCCTGGCCTACAGCTCATAGAAGCGCTCTCACAATTTGAGCAGGTAGATGTTTGGTGGGCGGACAGTCTGGTGCCTCAGTCTCGAGTTCCTCATATCAAGCGCTTGCCCAACGAGGAATGGAATAGGGGCACATTGGCGACATTTGACCACATAACCGTTGCCTTCATACAACCAGGTACAGAGCAAGACCCTTTAAGGAGACTGACGGGCGTCAAAATCGACAGATGGTGATTCTACTATTTTATACACCTTTTCCTTTGATGTTTTCACAAATTTTATGCTTCGTTCCGTACCTAATAAAACCTACCCTCTAGGTAGGTCAACATATAGCATACAAAGTTAGCGTAAATAGACTTTTGAGGTACTTCTTCCGTAGAAAATATTAAGCAAATTTAGAAGGATGAATGCTTACATAAAACCAACTATTTGATTAACATGAAATACATGAGAAAGAAAGTATGTCTTCAATTTGGCGGCTCAAGCTCAACCAGGAGCTATACGTTCTGTTTGAACCTTGATTCTCTTCTTTGGCCCTTCATTGACCGCTAACATATTTAGAGCACTCCTATGTCCTCTCAGACCCAAATATTTATTGGTCGTTGTGCTGATTTGAACAGCTTGTGCTGAGGCAATAATCGTCTTGAACTATGTCTGTCAGATACATGCTCACAGAGTTTACAGACCAGAAAGATGTTCTGGAAATGGCGTGTAACTGACTCTCCTAGAACTCAGAATGACCGGTTGTTCTGTTTCTTTAGAAAATAAGGTTTGTTTGTGCAGAAGATCTGCTTCGTGACGATGATGCCTCCTTGAAACTTGAGTCGTAGGCGTTCTATGCCTATTTTTCAAATATAAATGTTCCATTGACTTGCGAACAGCATATCTGGCAGTTTCTCATTGTGTAAGTCCATAGATTCCATATTACGGTGATCTTTTTTCTGTCATTCTCACTTCTCTTTGTTTAGCGCCGTTTACATACGAAAAGTTTATTCAGTACCTACAGTCACTCCATTACCATATCAATGTCAAGGATTCCTGAGAAGTGTTTGACTTTCTGAATCTGAGCACACTTGATGGCTGTCATTACGAGCTTAATGCTAGCCTAATACCAGTCAGAATATGAGATGAACGCTTTAACAAGATATGCTTCCCGCTTAACCTATGCGTGATTTTGTCATGACTTAGCCGATCATCTCTCCAAAATAGGCTCTGAATGTCGTGCTGTCAGAAAGAGGTTTCTACGCCCTTTCTCTCTTTTCTTCGTTTTCTGTCTTCTTTACCTTCTGAGATGTGTTGATTTTTTCAGCTACTATTCTTCCAGTAGCGAAACAAATTTAAGTAGTTGAGTTGAGTAATCGCACCTACTTGACTCAAGTTAAGAGGGGTTTAGCCATCAGCGCCGGACCACGTAGCGCCCCTAGGTTACTACGGTAGATCATTAGCAGAAGGCTAATAGCACTCGCTTTCCTGTTCTAGTTATATTAGTGAGGATATGTATATAAATTCCAGCTCCAAGTGCTCCTAGCGAGCGTCTATTTGGCCAGGCAGCTGGTATTATAAGTAAGAACAGGAAAAAGCTATCAAAGGAGACTTTCAAGGCAGTAATATGTTTAAAAGCACTTACTAGAGCATCGAAAAAAAGCCCTTTTTATATAATATATAATCGTATATTCCAGTTAGTACGGTATTTTAAACAAGCATCCGTGGGGCCAAACAATTATAGCACTACTTTAGAAACGCTCAGTATTAATCTGATAATTCTCAAGTAGCTTTGTTTCAAACTGAACCTTTAAATCTGTCAACAATGACAACAAAAATGAGTTTAAAAGGATTCCTTCCAGGTGTATATTAGTAAACAGCTTTACTGTAAACACTATCTATTGATAGCTATTCGTTGAATATGCAAGTGAAATTAGTGAATAGGTCAAACCAAATCTCTATAAGCTGAAAGTAATTTTGGTTGTTCTAGCATATAGGTTCAATGTCCTCTACAATTAATATCAATAGAAGAAATTTTGAGGACCAATATGGGAGTCCATAACTCTGTGAGCAACCCCCAAAACATTTCTTTATGGGTTAGCCTTCACTCCACTACCAGAGACAGCGTATGAACAAACTAATCAACTACTCAAGTAATACTTAAGTAGTACTTAAGTAGAGTGGAGTTGAGTAGTCAGTTTCACTACTTAATTAGTAGTGAGTACTCAACATGACTACTTAATTATAAGTAATTATAGTAAAAACGTGACTAAAGTATAAGACCTCAGGATAATTATTTGGAAAGGACATTCCCCTTTTACTAACCTATTTCTCCTTATTGATAGAACTCTCCTAGCTTTTCAAGCTTATTACCGCCTTAAGGGTCTCCTTCAATAGCTTGTTCCTGTTCTTAGATACAATGCTAGCTCTCTTGCTAAATAATTGTTGACTAGCTCGAGATTAGTTAGGAGCGCTTGACTTCGCTAATAACTCCGAGTGAGCGGACCGACCAGTGGGTATACCCCGGGTCACCTGGGGCGCGCTACGGGGATCGGCCCGGCGGAACCCCGAACTACTTAAGTACTTGGCGCCAAGTACTTAAGTTGAGTTGAGTAGGGTTTTTAAGCCCTTGAGTAGAGTAGAGTAGAGTAGGTGCTACTACTCTACTCTACTCTACTAATTTTATACGCTGCCCGGAGACATAGCACGATTTATTCTGTATTTCAGACTCAAGAGGTATGTAGTGACCCTCCTTCTCCACTAGCTTTCACCACGTTTGGCTGTCTGAGACCAAGTGTAGCTTTTCTTACTACATAACTACATAGCCGAAAGATGGCCCTGCGATTTTTATCTCACAAGTCCTAAAACCAAGTTACATTCTGTAATCTGCTATTCATAGAATTTCCAAACTGGGTGGCTGCGTAGTGAACATTCGCATCTCTTGTGATATTTTCCGGCCTATTCTAAGCGAAATATACTCTGTCGTGGGCTGCATATCTCCTATGTCAAACGATACCCTATAAGCTTCCATAGGTATCCCTTCCAGACGGAAAAATTCCAAAGAAAACGTGCACTCATAGATTTGTTTAAGATATCTCATTGATAACATCTTCTCTGTAAAAAATGATCGTTTGGTCGACCAATTTGAGCCCCATCTATGGTACATGCATCTCTAAACAGCCAAAAACTTTACAATCACGTAAACAAATTTCTAAGATGCTAGGATGGTCTTACTTCTGCATCCTTGGATCCAGCATTACAATTATTGATTCTCCGATTGGATGATGACAAATGTTCATCTATCAAGCTTCACAAAACAGAAGATGAATAGATTGAAAATACGAAGCGCGGTGCGAGTGCGAGTGTGAAACCTGGACCTGGAAAGTGTATATGTATAAGAAATAAGCAGTTTGCAGACGTCCTTGGAGATGTTTGGTGGAATAGCAATCAAATCATATTACGAACCCAAGTCTTTCTGTAAGTCGGATGGTCAGACCTGTAGCCTACAGGTACAGGTTACTTTACAATTTATAAGCCACTGGGCTGTGTCCTTCGGGGCTGGGTACTAGGTAGCTTAGCGGAAAGACGATGACACTCACTCCTATACCCAACACTTCACATGGTGTAGTGCAGTCCTCAGCCTTTGTCCAAGAAGAATTGTTGATTGAATGATTGTATTTGTGCTAGTTATACCAAAGTGTCCCGAAGGACGTCTGCCAAGTGCTTATTTCTGATACATATACACCTTCCAAGTCTGAGTCTCACACTTCCACTGTCCACGGTTCGTGAATGTAGTGCTCCCCATAAATGATCAGCAGCAGACATGTTTTCACAGTAGTACTTGACCTTCGTACTATAGGCGAGCAATAGACTCCAAGTGGGATTAACAACATCCTTCTGGAAATCGTGAAAATTTAGTGCTATGAACTACTGTAACTCAGCGTAACACGCTTAAAAGTACTGGCGTTACACCTAGGGACATGACTAGTCAGACCAGAATAGCTTTGAAGAATTGGAGCGCCTTAGCCTACAATTCCTCACAATATTTTCTGATAGACGTGGGGCCCTTATGGTTCAAGAAGATGGGGATGTGGGGAAAAGAATGTGGGGTGAGCTTGAGAGTTGTATCAATGCAATTATGCAACAACATTCCGAGCCAGGAACTCCGTCAAATCCTCGCCCAAAGGTATTTCTTGAATGCTCGAACTCTTCTTCAAGAAAATACTTTTCTCAACAGTTCGGCAACCTCACGACCTTACGGACGTTCCGACCAATGGAACAATTTCGGGTGTCTTGGTTTCATCTAGAATATCTGATTCCCGGAATGATTCCCCTCTACAGTTCCTCCGCCAAGTGACTATCAAACACCGGCTCCCCAGAAGAGCCAAGTTTTACTCCTCACCACCTTTGGTTCAAATGGTCATTTTTTGTGTGTGCTTCCACCAGAATAATAACCTTTTGTTGAAGTGGGGAGAGGGTATACTGTAGTCACCATCCAAGACGGCGAACCGAGCGCCTTTTTTATCGCGACCTTGCGCCTAAGACAGTGATCTGAGGCGATACAGCAGTTGGTACCGCTAGGTTGTTTTTCGGATAAACGATAGCGTTGGCTATGGGAAATTGTATTGGCATATGTTGGCGAAACTATGCGATTTACAAAATGTTCGGTTTGGTCGGAGAAGGATTGCCCACCTGCAGTTACTTCTCTTGGTAATGGGGAAGCACGGGTAGAATGTTCGTCCTCTGATTGGTTCGGGGAGATTTAGATACGGCTGCAAAGCTTTGCGGACTATAACCTTACAGTAAAATAAGAAGTTTCTACAGGGATATACTAATAAACGACCAGGGTTCCTCCCAAAAAAGATTTTCCTCTCGCAACTTCGCATGCCTACACAGCAACAATGAGACAAAATTGCACGAGGTCTACTACTATAAGAAATATTTTCGTTTCGAGTAGACCAATTGCTTTCATAGATTTCTGCTATTATAATTTGTAGAGCGTTCATGATCCGTGCTTGGTACGAGGTTGAAAACGGACATTTATTCTATGACCGTCCCCCGTCGAGCGAGGCTCTTCTAGACCTCATTTACTCCAGACATAACTCCCGGAACCCAACAGAGAATACTTCGTCCCAGGCGGAATAATTGTAGGTTTGCTAGGGTGGCTAAGGTTGGCAACAGGGTAAAAACCCCTGAAAAACCTACAATTATTTCGCCCGGGGACGAAGTATGTAGATAACTTCTGGTATTGATAATTGTTGGCCCAACTTGTCCAGAAGGACGACTGCAAACTGCTTATTTCTACTACAAGTACACCCTTTGATTCCAGGTTCCATGCACCCACTCCAATCAACAGCGGACAGAAGATTCGGAATGTAGATCGGAGGGCGAAGGGAAACTTTATAGAGGCAGAAAAGTTAAGATACGAGCCGGAAAGCCGGTAAGTATATCGTCAGGTGTTCTTCCCAAGGTCAAGAAAGTTTATCAAACCCTGAAGATAGACGGAATGGGTCCAATGACTTCGTATTGATTTCGAGGGGCTTGTAACGACCGGAAGATGGAGGCGAGTTGAGTCAACATTGTTTTAATTGTTTAGTTAAAACGTCTCGACTTATGACTCCAAGTAATCCAAGCTCATTCTTGGTGCAAAATCGGGCGAGTCCGCTCTGCAAGTACTTAAGCTTTCAGTCGTTCATCTGAGCCTCCTTTGACCACATCTAGGGGACCTTACAGCAGAAGTCAACTCAATCGTGGTCTATGGCTTAGAAGCTCGCTTATGAAGTCTTGTTTGGTACGCGACGAAACAATCGCGACGATAATCGGGAGTAGAGAGGTTTTGTCGCCGAAAATCAGTGGCAAAACTAGTGTTAAGTTTATACTTCGAAGTACTAGAAAGTGGACAATATCCGAGCGATATCTGACCATATTCCTGCAAAAGACGTCGCTACCATTGAAAGTTTATTAGGGGGCTTGAGTGTAGATAGTACTGCCAAAAGTAAATCTACAAAATAACAGTGACAAACCCACTTTTCAGTTCTCAATTAAGCCTAGTTCGGGCGATATAAGCCTTTGTGTTCGAAATAGACCCCTCGTATTTGTATTTGTATTTGTATTAGAAACGGTCCCTGCATACACTCTATTCGCTATTATTTCGTCACTAAAACAGGGCATCAAAACCTCTTCGAAAAACCAACATGAAGGGTAGACTTTCTACTGGAATTCTACTTGTTGTACCGGAACGAAAGCTTGTTAGGCCTACTACTGTAAAACAAGGCAGAAACTTGCAGCATAACGCGCTAGACACGGGAATTCCAGAAGCCCTAGACAACGGGTGAGTTCACTAGATGAAGTCATGTATTATGCGGCTTAAAAGCTTGTTCAGTCAGATCTTGCGCCTCTTTCGTTATTCAGCTATAGTCTCTTCTCTTGCGGGATTTCGATTTTGCCCTGGAACTCCAAAGATCTCAAGTCCATCTGCAAGTCGGGTAGACATTCCCAACAATGAACATGAAGTACAAATCGAGAGTATAAACAGAGCACGGTGGAATTTCTGTTGTTTTTTTATGACGACACGACTTCCCGTCGGGCGTGGCTGGTAAGTGCGTAAATCCGTGCACAAACCTCTACAGACTGAGTGCCTATCAAAAGTTCATATGCCGATCGCTTCACGGTCGGAGGGAATTTCCCCCCTCGGGCCGACAGTGGCCTACGGGTTACCGCTAAATTGGCTTGACATATTTACACATAATCTAGACTTCCCCTACGGACACAGCGGTCTTCGGCATTCACAGGTGCGGATGCGAGAAGGAACAGAGCCTGGTGGTCCCTGGTGTGGATGGAAACCTTAATGCGGTTTAGAGTCGGGTGTTCGAGGTCACTGGTGGGTCTTGTGCTTGTTTGTTCGAAATTCCCCTTTGTGTCGTTTCCGGAAAGGCGTATTTTCAGATGAAGAGCGGGAGTGTTTTGTTAAGACGCGAACCCCTCAGCCTTCTAAGACCCTCTATGTGATGGAAAATTCTAGGTAATTCAAAGACCGTATTATAAGTGAATTAATTTTTTATACTGTATATCTGAGCCAGGTCTTCAAAGATTGGTCCATTTAAACATTTTCTGGAAACAACACGTGGGGCACGATACACCTGCTAAGATGAGAATTTTGAAGAGAAAAAACAAAATAACAAGACATCGAAAAGAGAGGAAATGAGGGGACATGGAGCGAAGGACGGAAAAAAAGCTGTCACGAGTGATTGTGAAATTACATGTTCAACAATTCGTAAACAAGTATATTACTGGTAGATAGACAACTCTAAACTGCAGTCACACACACACACTTACAAAGTAACAATCCAACTCGCAGTAATACTTCAAAGTAAAATATTTCATCTTCAAATTTCATCCTACTAATGAAACTGCCAACTCCGGGGTGGCACGTCCTTCAGCACTGCCGAAGATTACTGTAATTCTTCCGGAATAGTAGGACGATGTTTGGCTTCTTGCACTGTCTTGTAGAAGTAAGCTTATGGGAGGTTCTGCAAACAGCCTAGCGATCGCCACACCCTCCCATCAATAGTGTCTGACAAGTGCCAATGGGCTATTCACCACGTGCAAAACAAGCATTGTGGTTCGAGTTATGGATGACGAGAGGGGCTCTGCCCAGCACACGATTACCACCGAGGAAACCTTGTTCTTTTTAGAAGTATGAGGCTGGCCTGTTACACTCATACTAAGACCGCATTTGAGCCGTCTTTGAAAAGTCGACAGGCTTGACATGCTTCCGGATGTGCAAGGGTAGCTTGTCGCTCTTATTAAACTTCACAATCCCTCGTTTGTGAAGGTTGAGTGCACCCGCTCTTTATCTTCTTCATTCGCTCTTTCTTGCGGTTTTTGGTTTCTCGGCTACTCGATCTCGCTATTTGATCCGAGTGCCCTTCCATTCTTTATTAGCTCTTTGTTCCGCTCCCTTCTTCTCTTTCGAGTCAGCCTACGATACCCCGCCAACCTGTTTCCCCAAGGTGGCTATAATGTTCTTGTTCCACGCAGTTTTTCTATGGGCCACTGCGGCCTCAGCTTCACGGTTCGCAATCAGGACGGAGGGCGGCCCTGAACCAGTGCCGGTCGTTCATGATAGTTCTTTTGTGCCAGACGCTATTCTGAGAGTCACTCACGACAAGCTCCAAGCTGCATGTTCGCCCGAGAAGCCGAGCTATCTGGTCAATGGCACGTATCCCGGACCAGCACTTCGCATACCTACGGGCAAAACGACTTGGATTCGAGTATACAATGACGTTGAAAATCACAACCTGACTATGGTGAGTTCTTCGTTTAAGATCTCATCATACCAACATGACTCTAACACTGTCTGATAGCACTGGCACGGTCTGTCGTTAGCAGTCAGTCCCTTTTCCGACGGAACTCCACAAGTCAGCCAATGGCCTATTGGTCCACTCCACTTCTTCGATTATGAAATGCATGTTCCTGAAGATAGAGCGGGCACATATTTCTACCACAGTCACGTCGGTTTCCAGGCTAGCACAGCCGCAGGACCATTAATCGTAGAAGATGCCATCGCTCCTCCATATGAATATGCAGAAGAAAGAATCATGTTCATCGGAGATATTTTCGACAAGACTGATGAAGATATTGAAAAGGGACTGACTTCCAACCCATTTGTTTGGAGTGGTGAGGCAGCCATGGTTTTGCTTAACGGGAGAGGTGGAGGTAACAACAATGGAACCTTTTGCAACGCCAGTCTTCCAGTCATCGACGTCAAGCCTGACACCACTTACCGATTCCGATTCATTGGTGCTACTGCTTTGAGTTTCGTCTCTCTCGAGGTTGAGGGACATGATACATTCTCTGTCATTGAGGCTGATGGGTAAGAAACTGCGCTCTGGGACATAGTAGGGAAACTTATTAACATGATTCTAGTCACTATACTCAACCTTACGATACTCCATTCATGCAAGTCGGCCCTGGACAACGATTCAGTGCTCTTTTCAAAACTCTCGCTCAGCCAGAAAAGTCAACCTATATAATCCAAATGGAATCTCGCGAACGACCAACAGTCACTCGTGGCTTCGCCATTCTCCGATACAGCGACCCAGAACCAAACGCGTCAAGTACCAACAAATTCTACCCACCCGAGCAACAACCATGGCAGATGTGCAACACATCCACCGATTGGTTAGAATACGAGCTGAAGCCTCTCGTACCCATCGACTTCCCAACAGCGGACAAGGTCACCCGAACCGTCACAATGACCACTCATCAATACCAACAGGGTTTCATCACATGGCGCCAAAACGGACACCCATGGACCGAGACTTATCCCCAAGAACCATATCTCGTCTCCCTCTACAAATCCGACCACGCCGAATATCCCTCCATGGAACGCGCCCTCGCCAACGATGGAATCGACCCCGTGACTCGTGTCTTCCCCGCTCAAATCGGCGAGATCATCGACCTAGTCATCCAAAACACGGGCAGTGACAACGGCGGCGTGGATATCCATCCCTTCCACGTCCACGGAGCCTCGATCATGGATCTGGGTTCCGGGCGTGGCCGCTACAACGCAACCGAGAACGAGAGAAAACTCATCGAACTGGGAGTCCAACCCGTTTACCGCGATACCACCATGCTCTACCGCTACGGCTCAAAAGCACCGAACGGCACAGCCGCAGGCTGGCGCGCATGGAGAATGAAGGTTACGCAGCCTGGTGCGTGGATGATCCATTGCCATATTCTGCAGCATATGGTGATGGGGATGCAGACGGTGTGGGTGTTTGGTAATGAGACTGAGCTGCTAGCATCGGTTCCTCAGCCCCAGATTGAGGGGTATCTGAATTATGGGGGAAGTGCGTATGGAAACAGCACGCACGACCCGGTGATGGTGGCTTTCCAGGATGGACCTGCATGGACGGAAGGCCAGTAACGGACGCGGCGTGATTATTTGCAGCGACCTTTTTAGATTTGATTTTATAGCGAAGAGCGAGGAGCTTGATGAAATCCACGGCTCGAATTTGATTCAGATTTTGTCCCGTTACGAGAAGAGTGACCGGTAGTTCCATGAATCTAATAACTTTGAGGGAAGATGCCTAAATGTTCATTTCTCCTCACCCCTATCCCACATGACTCTAGGCCTTGAAAAACGAAGAAGGTGCGCAGAAACTACTGTACAACAAATACCTACAGCCGAATAGTGAACTCGATTAGCTTGCCATCGCAGCAAGTATATAAACAGGTACTGTATAGGAATAAGTGTAAGTATGTAAAAAAGCATATAAATGACAGCCTTCCATTCCAACTCAGGTGCCATAGTCTTTCCATCTACCAAGTATTCCATCATATAAACATCTCCTTCCCTTTCTACCGATGTGTGTTGTCTTCCATCTTCCAGTACAGCAGGGGTATCAGAATCGCGCACGCACGGGATTCCCCGCATCGTACTCCACACCAGCGACCTGACCCATAACGGTAACTCGCGTGTAAATTCATGCGAACCACCCAGCCTATAACAGAAGTGCTATAGGACTAAATATAAATATCTACCATGTAAGAATTTGAGCCTCAATCTTAGCTATTTATGCCTGCTCAGATCACGACGTCTCTGGGGGATACCGAGGATTTTACTTTTGGAGGAGTTTATGGATCATGGAGATGGTAGGTAAAGGGGGTGGACAGTTAATGCTGGACACTGTCGCTGATCATAGTACGTCTCCGCCGCGCCTTTTAGCTAAACCAGCCAATCAAAGACTCGGATTTGCAAGATATAGACTTTTTTCACATATGATCTACGTGACAGTGTCCAGCATTGACTGTCCACCCCCTTTATGTGATTGTGAGGATGAGTTGATGGTTGGAGGGAGATAGAGGAGCTTGCTATGATTTGAGCTGATGGGGTATCCTATGAAAGCTGGTTTATGATTATATAGAGTAAAAGTTCTACTAGAAAGGTGTAAATATAGGGGTTAGGCGGGGATTAATTAGAGTTATAGCTTAAAAAAGCAGGTCTCACCACCTGTACTACTCTAAAAAAGGATTGTAAATTAGCGTAGAACCTAAGGTTAAGGGATCTAACTAATAAATACTACCTATTTAATACTCCTTAGTATTTTGACCGCTTAAGGAGTATATCTAGGCTTAAAATATAGTAGATTTACCTCTAAACGATCTACGTAATAGGTCCCGGACCTCTAGAGTATTATATAATCGCTCGTTCTAGTAGCTCTATATATACCTATTAGTAGGATTTACCTCTAGTGTGACGGAGCTGGATTTCATTTGACAGGATTTCATTCGCTTGGCCAAGCACGTGACGAGACTTGGCATTGGAACAACTTAAATAACTTCGCTCCTTTCAGATTCTCTTCTCTCTTTAGTTTGATTTCTTCGTACCTACGGTTTTAGTTCTAGCAATTGATTCAAAAGCTGTATACACTTTATCCTTTGTTGGCATCCGTGACATTTAGGCGAACTATGTAATAGGTCCCAGACCTCCTTTAGATTATATAATACCTTAGCCCTATAGCTCTATATATCCCTTATAGTAGGATTTACCTCTAGATAAACTACGTAATAGGTCCTAGACCTCCTAAGTATTATATAATCCCTTTCCCTTACTCTAATTTCGGGGTTTAGTCCTTATAAATACTACTCGGACTTAACTAATATTACTCTAGCTACTATATTATATACTACCTTAACCTTAATTCTTATCTAAAAAATATATAAGTTAGTATAAAAGATTCCCTAGACGCTAAATCCTAATCGTATTTATTTAATTATCTAATATATCGCTTCCATAATTAGTAATATAGTCGTATATATATTAGAAGCGATAGCTATATAGCTCGCTTAGTAATATACGGCCTATCCTACGAAGACTACTCTTCTAGAGGTAATAAAATAGTCTTCTAAAGCTTAACTTTGTTATTTATTACTTAATTTTAATAGTAGAACGGTTGTATTAATAGTAGAAAGGTACCTTTATAATTTATATAATAATATCCTAGTCGGGGGCTTATTATTATATAAATATCTTAGGTGTTTTCGAGTCGCTTACTAACCTTTATATTACTATACTACTAGTAGATATTAACTTTACTATTATTAATTAAGTATAATATAAGACTCTTACTATTTAAGGTATTATAATAGACCTTGTAGTATAAGCTCTTAGTAGAAGCTATTATAGAGTAAAAAGGCTAGACTACTTCGCTAGCTTATATAAGAGCCCGCGGCTACGTTTATATTATAGATAGTAAAGAACGGTTTTAAATAATAGAAGTAGTAAACGGATAATTACAATAGCTTTCTATACTAATTTATAGGCGAATTACATTAATATATATTAATCGAGTCTCTCTCTCGAATCCTCTCTCCTCTTCCTTTATTAGTTCTATAACTACTACCCCTTTATTATACTCTTTTATATTACCTCATAGCCTTTTTTCTCTCTCTCTTTTTCTACTACTCTAATTAACTTTAGTTAAATTAATTATTATATAACCCTAGTTAGTCGGAAACCGCTAGTTTCCATATAGAATAACCTTTTAGGGCTAGTCCCCTTAAATAGATATCTCTAGCCTCTACTCTAGAGGTTCTTAGGTCTAGTAAGTACTTTAAACCTTTAGAATTTTAAGAACTATACTATAATTAATCGATCTATTCCTCGCTTATTAAGAATAAGCTAATTAGCTCTAATATTACTAAAAACCTTATTCTTCCCCACCTACCCTGTATTACTACTACGTTAGTTACTTATTATTTATAATAAAGTAAAAGCTAACTTCTCAATAGTACTACTACTAATTTAGTAGCCTCTACTACTACCCTTATCGCCTCCCTATATATATATTATTTTTTATTACTCCTTAAATATCTTTAGATACTAGTAACTTATATATATATAGTAAACTACTACTAAGGAGAATAATAATAATAATAATAATAATAATAATAATAACTTTAGCTTTAGTTCTATAAATATAAGTAGTAATAACCCCTATAAGCCGGACGTTAGTAGTAATAACTAAGAAGATAATAAGATAGATATTAATACTATAAGTACTCTTTTTTATTTACTTAGTATAGTTTGCTTATATACTTCTAAGTATTAATTAAGACCTTATAGTATAGAATTTATAAAGACTTACGTACTAACTATTATAGAATAGTCTACCGCCGCTACTATAACTATAACTATAGCTACAACTATAACCGTAACCGTAACCATAACTACTACTACTCCTACTCCCTCTAGTAAGCGGGACTTTGTCCTCTTTTATTACCCCCTTCTAATTATAGCCTTTTAGTTTCCGGATATACTATACGTTTACTAAGCCCTAGTAGCTAGTATATGCTAGTAGTAGAAGAATAACTTTTTTTTAAATCTATAGGTTCTTATTATTATTTATTTGCTTATTCTATCTTTGTCCTAGGTATTTTGTAAGGTAGTTACTAATAGAGATAGTAAAAAATAGAACTAATTAGCTTCTTATAGAAAGGACAAAGTAGGACTATATTAGCTAGATAATAGAGACGGATTTAGGTAAGACTATAGTTAGTAGAATAGCCTATAGTTACTATAGAAAGTACAGCTATAATTATTATACTTATATATAAGTAGTCGAGGATAAGGTTATTTACTATAGTTCTTAATTTACCTACTATTATAAAGATAAACCTTATAAGAGGTATACTATACGCGGGCGTACTATTATTATATATAATACCTCTCCTACGCTTCTTAAACCTAGATCTAAAAAGGGTCTACCTAGTAGTTTACTATTAGAAGGTAGTACTAGAATTATAGCTTAAGAAGCTACTTAGTACTCTAGTATTATATATTATAGTATAGTTTAGTTTATTTAGCTTACTATATTATTTCTTTATTAGTATCTTTGTTTAAAAGAGTTCCCTACTTTATATTTAGATAAGTACCTTATTATATATAAAGTAAACGTTACTTATATTTACCTATAGCTCTACGTTTAAGAGAAAGCGTTAAACTTCTAGTATAGTCTATTAGTATTTATTAGTTATTAAGTCCTCCTTACTAATCTCCTTAGTAAAGCCTAAGTAAGTAAGGTAGTAATACCTTTAGTACTTAATATTATATTATTATATTATATCTAGGTATAGGTATAGGTATTTAGGCTTAGGGGTATTTTGTTTATCCTAGTCTCTCTCTACTCTCTATAAACTCCTATATAATCTATAATCCTAGTTCTATTTAAGAAGAATCTATTATTATTAGTATTTAACTTATAAAGCGTAGATTTAAAGCTATAATATTTTTATAAGATACCTTAAATTAAAAAGAAAAGTATCTATTCTAGCTAGATATAAGTATAATAAGCTAAATAAAACCTAATAAGTAAAGATAAAAGTAACTGTACTATAGCCTATTATATAATAACTCGTATAGTATATAGAACTACTCTAACCGCCTTTCTCTAGCGAACTCCTAAGACCTAGTAAAAATTACTATATCTTCGATAGCCTTATCCTTATCTACCTTCTATATATATTTATACTACCTAGTCTTCTTACTAAGTTCTTTCTTCTATTATATCTTAAAAACAACGTCTATTTCGGCCTATAATTTAGTTATTAGCTTATAATTATATACTATTCTATTATTTAATAGAGTAGTATTTATAGACTAATAGTGTGACGACACGCACAGCTGATGGACCGCGCAAGAGTGCACGACTACGTCAGGTATCACGAGTGGTGAGATTGACACTGTGAAACTGCCTATACGAAGATTCTAAGCTGAGGAGAGAAGAGAAGAAAGGACAGAAGCTCAGGAGCTGGAGGCTCTTATATGCAGGAGGTGTGCCAAACGCACCTGCTTAGCCGAGTTCCAGCCAGGGACTGGTCTGGAGCATGGTTGCCGCAGGGTTCCAGCCAGGGGCTGGTCTGTAGCGTAGTGGCGGTCAGAACCGTCACAAATAGCTAGGATAGTCTTTTAGCTAATACTTAGAATATAATCGCTAGAAGCTAGTTCCTTAGTAAACATCTCTTAGGTTTTAGTATAAGAACTTATGGTAAATACTAGGAAGTTTTACTAGTACTTATATTATTTTAAATACTAGGAATAGCTTAGGTAGCTCCGGGGCCTACCTAGGAATAATATCTAAGTGGGTTACTTATAGAACTTAATAATAATTAATATAACTTATAACTATATTCTATAATTTTATTTATAATATTATTAAAACTAAGTTCTTATAGACTCTTAACCCTCTTAGCCTATTTCTTATTCTCTTAATTAGAGGTACTTTAAGCCTATACTAAAGAAGGTACTTTATTAACTCTTTATAGTATATAATAACTTAAGGCTTATCCTTATCCTTATCGCCTATAAGAAGGAGTATGTGACAGACGTGCTTCAGGTAGAACTCAGAACAATTAACACTCTATTCTTAGGACAAAAGACGAGGAAAGAAGGAGAGCTCGAGAGAGCTGGGAACTAAATACAGGTCGTGCGCGCTAGCGCCTCGCTAAGCGAGCATGTGACATCCAGCCCTCGTGACCATAACCGTCACAGAGTAGAGCTTTTAGGAGCGGGAAAGATCTATTATTCTTTTATTTAGTAGTAAAGAGAACGCTTATAATCCGATTAATTATCTATAGGTTCTCGAACTATAGTAAATAAACGAATTTATTTAAAGTAGCTTATTAAACCTAGTATTACTTATAGTTATCATACTTTATCTAAAGTATAAACCTTATATTATTATTTATTAGAGAGATATTGTGACGGTTCTGACCATCACGTGGCACTTGTATCACGTGGCGCCGCTTAGCGACCCACACCATGTATGTAGACTCGAGCTCCCTCGAGCTCTCCTCTTCTCTTCAGCTTAGAATCTTCGAATAAGACAGTTCTACGATTCCATAACCTACACCTTGGACGCCCACTGTGACGGTTCTATGTGACGGTTCTATGTGACGGTTCTAACCGTCACACCCACGGGCAACATATCGTACGTGTCGTCACAGATATATTAAATACTTACTAGAGTTAAAGTAATACATTTTAAATACTCCTAAAGGATATTAAAAAGGTAGAATTTCTCTTAATAACTATAAGTTAATCTAGGAATAGCTAAGGAATTAATATATTCCTTAATTAAGACCTTAGATTTAAGGTTCTATAACTTTATTAGACAAGGAATAG